AAGTTTGACAATTCTCCTGAAATTTATTTTCAAAGAAAGAACTACTTGATATGATAGACAAAAGTAAAAGACTTTCAGTTGATCTATGGCTTTTATTTTCATTTATACTATTTAGTAAGTCATAATATCTTGACTGAATATTTTAATTATATCTAGCTGTTTGAATTTCCATATATGTGTTATGTTAGTTAACCGTTCTGCTTACTACAATCTATTCAACTAGGATTTGAAAATTGTTTTTAGAAGTAGATGATCACTTTGATTAACAAAATCATTACATATTTCATTGGTTATTTATTCATCTTAACAATGCTGCTTCCATATATCCTTAATAATACTGACGATCAGAGATACTTCAATTTTAAATATTTATAAGCTTTTCTAAACAAAAGAGCTCAGGACAGTTAGCATTTAAGATGGTAGAGGAGATTTGTAACTTAGGTAGAAGCTTGTGCTAATGATGTCTTTCAGAAGAACGATGAAAGCTTCACGACTAAACCATCTAGCTCAGAGAATAAAACTCCATCAAAAACAGTTGGCATTTGAAATAGAAGGTTCTAGTATCTTCTTGAATAAAGAAATATTGGATTTTTAGGAGACAAGAATGACAGAAAAAACTATTTTATTCAAAAGATATTTAACGAATTTCTCAATATCACGCATTTACAACGCAACACATGGCTCAGTTCAATGATCGCTTACTTTTAGTAATTCTAAGTACGTAGGTTACCATCTAGGTAGAAAGTATGCTGAAGTAATTTGTACTTCATCTACTACACTAAATGATATACGTGAGACAGTTTGATTTAAACGTTAGTTGTAATTAACTTAAGCAATAATTTTATCTAGTTCAATGTGAACCCTCAGTCTGATTTTTTTAGTGATGACAGTTTCAAAGTATTTTGTTTACTAAATACTCTAAAGTAATGAGGTTTACGTTGGTGGATTAAGGTAATGATATAATCTGCGCCCAGTCTAAAAAGAACTGATTAACTGTTACTTTGACGTTCTAATGTGTGCTAAAAGCATATACTACCGCTCCCCACTAATTGTAGGTGACATTTTAAGACGATACTTTAGTGTTAGAAACTAATGGAAGTTATAAAATACTGATCAATTTTTTCTAGTTGAGTTATATGTTGTTTATATGATAGATACTTTACCTAAGTATTTTGAGTTCCGTTCCCTTTATAGATTAGGTGGAGACCAAAAGTTGTTCAATCGGTTATTCAGTACTCTCACTTGCTCGTTTGAAAGATATTTTACAATTCAAATTACACGATAATGAGACTACATTCGGTAGCATAAAAGCTAAACCTTTTATTTTTCTCCATTATATATTTCATAAAATAAAGCTTTATTTGACATTATATCCAATTTCCCGTTAATGATTCATAAACTTAGTAGACTTACTTATTCACAGAATAAGAATTCAGCTGTCAATAGGGCAAGGGTTAATTAAGTTTCTTACAACTTGAAACTAAATAAAGTTGGGAAATATGTTAATTGTATTCCCAAGTATATGAATCACACTAGTTGTAATCATAATAGACTGAAACAAAAAAATGTGTAATATAAAGTTGTAAAAAAGTAATCGATACATCATTTATATCTTCATTACCCCTGTCCCAAAAAAGGTAAAGATTTTGTGATAAAACCTAATGTTGAATAGATATCAATACCAAGATTCGACTTGATGATTTCAAATAAATTGAGCATTGAATAGAAAGTGAATAATAAACGAATTATATATATATATATATATATATATATATATATATATATATATATATATATATATATATGATATCCTGGTGAGTAGAAACTCGAATTTTGACGTTTCGTGACTTAGTGTAAGTCATTCCTTCAGACTGAATAAATAAATATTCGAATTAAATTAACACACGTTTAGATGGTATGCAGGTACAAGATGAAACATTAAGTTCAATTGAAATCAAAATAATTCTGATTGTGTGTGTGAATTATTTTGGTCAAGATGATTATGCATGCGATAAACTGTGTATTTGTGTGTATGGTGGTGGATATGATGTGTAACTTGTAATATGAAGGTGTTCAGCCAAAATTTAAGTGTATGTGTTTAGGTTATGTGGGAAATAAACAGAGTTAAATGTGGTTGTTTAGATGAACAGTCCAAGTTGCATAAATAATCAGGCCCTATTTTTTATTGGAAAAACCTTTCTGAATTATTTTGATATTTTTAGTATCAATTTAGTGGCATTTGAAAATAGCATATGTTGTTAGTGAGGATTTTATTTATCAATTTTCCAGCTTTACAGGATTATTAAGAGGTTATTTTAGCTTAAATATTCCTTGGCTTGAGTCGGAATTTCACGAGAAGACTCTCCGATCACAATCAATACAACCTAATCTGTAAACTTGGCAAGATATTATTTACAATGTAATTAATCAAATTAAAAATAACACCCTACGCAAGATGAACTATTCATAAATCTAGCTAATATAGAGAAACAGTGATAAAACGATTACTGTCATAGCTAAGTTAGGCGTTTAACTGTGACATATATATTCTTTTAGTTAATTTTTATGGATATACTATAGTTATATAAATTTGTATATTCATAAAGTGTGTGTTGTGTGTGTGTGAAAGACAACAATTAATGAGTGTTAGATGAAAGTAATCTATTTTGAGCTACTACATATTCTTAGTTGTCTTAGTCTCTATTATACTCTGATTATTATGTTGAGAATAGCAATTACTCAATTAGGATATCAGTAATAGATAGCATAACACATAAGACAGAATTTATTACATAATTTTGAGAAGTTCAATATCTAATATAATATCCATTATTTCCTTTTGTCTTTACTAGATTTCCTTATGTTTTGATAGAATTTTCACTGATGTTCAGTAGGAAAAAACTTTGATGTTAACAGATTATATGCACCAAAACGTTAGATCTTTTTCAAGATTCATATAATATTCAACATAATTCATTGAATGATAGCCTATAACAATTAATGATGGTTCTCTCTTTATTCAAAATAATACTGAGATCTCTATATAAGAGTTAAGTGTCTTTCGTTTAAAATCATACAAGATCTTTGATGAGCATTTTTGAGCAGCTTCAAATTCAGGATGAAACAAAAGTACATTCACTTGATATTGTTTACTTGAATCTTCCTATAAATGATTGGGACTGTAACTGATCAGTCTCATGTTGGCATATGTGCATCCTGTGTGTATTGCCTCGATATTGCTTCAATTCACAATCAGTAGCTAAGTGAATAACGAAATAGCTTTTGAAGCGAACGTTACTGAATTCGAATCCCAGAGTGAACATTAACTCTGATTGAAACGCACGTCCTGGATTCCACTGCTAAAAGTACATTGTTTCTGATTTTTAGTCATTTGCCAAGTAATGTTTAACTCTAACAAAATCAGGATTCAGATTCTTAGATTATGTTCAATTTCAACTGACTTATCTAAATAAATTATATGTATTTACTTTAGGATTAATTACGTCTATATTTTCTGTTATACTACATGCTTATAGGTTAAAGAATCCAACTATAAATAGAATAAAATAATAACTGGGAAAGAATAATTGAAGAATTCCATTTTAAAATAATCTACCTTAAATAAAAATAATGTTTAAACTTAAACTTAACGAGTATTTTTTTCTAAAGTAAAGTTCTTTTTATCAAAACATTCCATCTTAGAAATGTAACAGATTCTAATCTTTTAATTTCTCATCGTTAGATTATCATTTTTACAGAGTTTCATTTTCATTTTTATATTGGGAATTGTTAAAAGTTAACGTATAACACTTGAAAAATACAAAAAAAGAATGAATCAAAAAAATGAGCGTTATTTGTTAAGATCTTTTAAAAGATCTATTTTTTCATACGCATAGTTCCCTTTATCATTTTGAAAAGAACAAGAACAAAGGTTCTACTAGAATAATATGAATTCATTCTATTACATTTGGTTCTTGTCAGTTGCTAACAACCTATGATTATGGTCAATATCTATAAATCTCAACTTCAAAGGTGATGATGTCGCAAACACAATCAGCAGGAGACTGAACACTACACTAGTCAGAACTTATCCGGCAGCCAAACTTTTAATTTTGTATGAAACAACATGTTTAATAACTCAATCAAAGGTTGACAAGCATCTCTTTCATGTTACCCCAACTGTATTTATAAATTTAGGTGTACCTGCCAAAGCAACTACATTGGTCAAACAGAAAAGAGATTTTTTGAACATGTTCCAAAAAGCTTCACATCAAGAGAAAGAAAGACTTTAAACAGTGCAATCACCAAACAACTTCTTGATACAAGACATCAGGTAGATATCTTTTTTGGAAATAAATTTTAAGAAAACACTTCACTATGCTCTTTGTAAATCAACTAAAACATAAATGTCTTTTTTAAAAGGCTTAATTCTTCTGAAACTGAATGGAAAATTTTTAATGAATAGTCAAAGTTAAAAATATAGATGAATGTGTTTTGAGATGACACCATGTCTATGTAGTTTTATCAAGAGTTCTTGTTGACTATGTAACGTCATGTAAATAATTCACTAGAGGATACGTTTTTTTCAGTTCAAATTCTATGGTTAAAAATGAATATCAAAATTGAATAAAACTGAAGAAGGGAATATTATGAATACATACCATTTAAACCGTTTATCTCTTAATTATTATGATAACAGGTAATTACTAAAGTTGAAGTCAAAGATGAAGTTTCATATTAACAGGTTTCATCAATTGATGGAGATATAGATTATACAAAACAGGGGACTGATACATATGTCACTCATTCTCAGTCACTATCTGAAGTTTAATAAATTTATGATATAAAGAACCTCTTAATATATAAATTACATTATGACATTAAAATATAGAATAACTGATTAGTTATTTAACATATGCAAAGTTTAAATTATCTGAGAGGAATCAGATGTGAAAGAATAAATACTTTTTGAAATGCCATTCACTCTAGACGAAACTTACCTATTAAATACATCAGGAAATCCTAATTTTTCAACCTGAAGTATACCATTGTACATCGACAGGCAAATGAAGGTAGAGTGATCATTAAATTGTCCTGAACAGCACTTGTCGCTGACTCAGTTGCTGAGAACCAAAAATTACTTACTCACTTTCTTTCTTCGTTTAACAATACTGATGTAGCTTGTGTAAATGTCGAAATCTGACAGGTAAATATACCAAAATCATAGATAATGCTTACCAAAGAAAGTTGAATATACTTTTATATGCTCCTGAATTATCCTAATGTTAAAAAACTTCAGTAGATGAATTTATGAATTGATTAAAGTTAGTCTACTATGGGAAACCTGGAAGTATTGGATGGCCGTTTCGTTCTAGTATGGGACTCCTTAGCAGTGCACACGCACATGGGACTCAAGTCCAGTATCTTCGGTCTCCCGTGTAAACACTCAACCTATAAACCACTGAGCCAACATCCAATGGTGTCAACCTCTAACTTCAATCGGTCCATGATCTCGCGCAACCGTTCATCTATTGTCTGAAATGGATAACTGTCTCCACCCGACACGGACTGCATTCCACTGGCGTCCGCGCGCGAGACGGAAGGCCTTAGGCTTGATTCCCGTGTGTGTTATCGCGGATGCGCACTGCTAAGAAGTCCCATACTAGAACAGAACGACCGTCCAGTGCTTACAGGTTTTCTACGGTGGTTCTTTGAATATGAATTAAAAAGTTGCAAATAAGTGTCTCATTTTAATCATCGTAATCATTAAAAAGTAGGTAACGCTGTATATGAATCTCGCACTAATTTAGAATCGCTCAACTATTCACACACATATGATCACTTGTTTATCATCAGTTAACATAGCCACCCTACTCTATCACTTCAGTATTGTTGAAAATTATGGAGAATATTAACCTATTTTGATGAAAAGATATACTTGATCTTTAAGACTTGTGTGATTTCTTTTTTGTTTATTTACTACTATAAGTAGATTAGTTATTTTAAGCCAATTTTATTTTACGTAACGCTGTATAACAATCAGAATTATGACTAATAGCATTTTAGTGTCTTTCTAGTAGTAATACTAGCTCATGTTTTTTTAAAATTTATTCCAACGAAAAAGAACTAACTTCTAAGCATACTATGTTTGTTGTATTGACAATGATACTCTTCTTTAAATACTTGAAAAATAAAATCATTTGAATTCTCTTATATTTTTTTAGCTTTATCCACATTTTTTTCAACAAGTGATTGAGAGAAACCAGAGTTTCATGTACTCACAAACGTAGATGACTTATTAAAAGAATAAAACGAAACTTATATTCAATAAAGGTAGATTCAATATGTACATATTTCAAAGTCCGTTCGATTTAATTATTTAATCAGTTGTATTAAACATGTAAGATAGTTTGGTTTTAATTCTTTATGTAACATAAAAACATATAGCTGCGTTTAGTGTATTTTCAATCTTTTTTTTAAAAAAACATGATTGTTATCACATTTAATACAGCTTTCCAGAATTATAAAGATTCATTTAATTGAACTGGGTTACGAACAATTTAATTTAATTAAAAATGATGATATGAGAGAAAAACGATAGTAGTCATGCAAGAATCTGAACTGGGAGACAGGATAAGGCAAAAAACCACTGAATCAAAGATTGCATCTGAATCCACAATGTTTTCTTCACGAACAGGTCATGTGACAGTAAACATAAAAGTACCACCATTGTCAGTAGTAAGCAAAGTTTATTGATTGACGACACATATTAAACATAATTCTATAGCTGTTAGTCAATTACTTATTATCACTAAACTTTAAATTCTGTTATTTCAGCCTAAATTCTACATAAAACCACATCTCACTTTCTTTATAGTCAGTCAGTCAGCTACAACGTAGGACCAGGTACATATATGCACCAGTCCAAGTTGCCATACCTCATTAACACAACAAGATGAACACCGGATTCATAGAAGTAGCTAATTCAATGGTGGTAATATATAAAAGAAAGATTGCATATAAGGATACAGTACAGGAGGAAAGAATTAGTTCGTAGAAAGATAGATATGAAGTTATTTTAATCTCATAGTTTAAAGGAAGACAGAATGTGTATACACCGACGCCATTGTGATCGATTCTGAGCCATATCATCAAGAGTCTCCAACCATTGGTTAAGATAGTCACTCATATCCCAACCAAGTAGTCTGCATCTACCAACATGGGTATGGCTAGAAGTTAGTGACTTTACAGATTGATGCCACTTTCTTTATATGCTCGGTTTTTTTTAATCGAAATACTTGAGTTATCACTACTACTCTCCCTTTCAAATGTTTCAAGATAAAATTTTCAACAGCTCTTATCAAACTTAACATATAGAACTGGTTTTGTTTTGAAATAAATTATAAGAATTTGACGTCTCATTCCATAAAATAAGTTATTATGATAGATCCATCTAGTTTTTCGTTAGTATACTAAGTAAACATCAACCTGGTTATTTTCCAGAATTCTCTTGTATAACTATAGTTTTCTTAAGATTAAATTTTTCTACTTTCTCAGTAAAAATGTAGCATTCAAATAAGTCTAAAACAGACTAATGTTTGAGTTCTGTCCTACGCCTTAACTACTAATCTGTTCATATATATATATATATATATATATATATATATATATATATATATATATATATATATATATATATATATATATATATTAGACTAACAATTGAAAGTATCTATGGTATCTGAAACTGTCAGTCCAATTCATGTTACTAACCTAGTTTCTGAATTAGGTATTAATCATTTTTCAGTGATTTTTTGTTTTTGAAAAATAGTTACATAAACCGAAAAATGCAGACAACCAAAATTTTAATTCATTTAGGAATTAATTAACAATGGTATTTCTCTGATGATAAACTCATATTATACTAATTTACATAAATTACATGGACAGTATTTAGAAATTTCTAATCTGAATATCTAGATGACTGCAGTTATATATGATTATTATTTATTTCGTAGAATATTAAGCGATATAGGTTTGATTCAAGTACACATCGATTATATATGTACATATATGCATATAGAAACATATACACTTTTATTTCTAACAGCTAGTTTGAATATAAAGATTTTGATGACCGTAACTGATAAAAAGAACAAAAATAACGGTCACACAATAATTAAAGTTTACATTTGTCAAGTATTTTCATGCAAAACCTTTTCCTATGAGTAGTATATCTTAGTAGATTTCTTTTATATTATCAGTAAAATTTGATTCATTATGATATCCATCATTCATTCAGTCATCAACATTTTCTTTTTCATTAAATAAAATTAATAAAATTTAATGATTGATATTTATAAATGGAAAGTACTATGACAGTTTGAAAAAAAGTATATGTTATAGATCCAGAATCAATATTCAGTCGATAGTCAGCGCTGAATACAAACGGAACCTTTCATGAAATTTTACCTACCATAATAGCGTGATAAGAAACCAGCAGTTTTTAACCCAATGACATCATTGGTTTTATAAGCTATATATGTACTGGTCGAATGAGTAGTATAGCAATGGAAGATGAGTTTCACAAAACCACTATAAATCTAACCAAATCATGAGTTCACAATAAACAAATAACACCATTATTATAAATATCCTGATTTCATAAAACCAAGAAAACTAAGACCGTGTAAAAAATTTCTGTAAACGTCAACGAGAATTCGTTTTCAATAGTCTTAAGAAGAGCGCTATAAATGCTGAATTTCAGGAGGCCACATATCTAACTTTATTACCAGATTAGGAATATATAAATTTTTCAGCTTGAAATTAAGGTCGCAATTTTCAGTGAAGTTTATTTTGAAGCAATTACAAGTAGTCACTGCTACAGAAGTATATTAAAATCTTCAATAAGCCTTTAGTTTGCAGGAAGAAAAAATCGTGGAAATAAACACAGATTAAATTACAAGACCTAGAAAACTCATTCTATTTCAGTAAAAAAATTATTATCTAAGAGTTTTCAATCTTACTTAAGATTCAATGAATTACCAATAACGTTTTAACCAAAGTTTGTAAACTAAGTAGTTGTGTGGTGTGTGCTACTTATATTGGCATAAGTAGTATGTGATTTTAACCGTGAACAGAAGGTCTGGCAGTAGAGAGACAAGAGGATCGAACAGTAAAGAATGGGAGCAGAATGCAATTTGTATGAAAATGCAAGAATAATGAAGTCTGAGTCATTCTGAGACAATTGGTGGGTTTTTTTACGAATTAAGCATTTACTTTATGATTGTTAGATTTTATTAACAAGTCCTGTAATTTTGTGTTATATACATTCGATTGTTCCCCACTGGTCTTCATGTTCACTACATTTAGTGTCGCTGTCAACCAGGAGGGGAAGGGTGCTGTCCTGCGAGCGCCGTTGCGGGCGTGGAGCTGAAGTGCTAGTTGGGGCAGTCTGGTGCGTGGAGGTAACGTCGAGCGGAGTGTTCTGGCGGGGCGGCGTTGGCTGTAGCGGGTGCTGTCGATGGAGGGGAGCGGCAGAAAGTGCGGCTGCTGAGCGGACATCCGATGTAGGTGGCTCAGCAGGCCGGTGGAGCATGGGTGTTAGGCGTCTCAGGTGCCGGGTCTACGTCGGATGTTGTTGCCCCGGCAGGTCGACGGAGCTGTGGAGGTCAGCGTGCCACAGACTCAACATTTTGACGGAGAGTGTGGAACAGACTGGAGACACGAAGAATGTGGCACGGTGAGCATGAACCACCGCAATAACGACTGCTTTAAAGAGGGGACGAGTGTTCACTACAGTTGCATGAGAATACTTAATTATTATAGTGCAATAAACTAATGTATTAGTCTGTATTCTGGTGACTTGTATAAAAATATCAAAAAAATTAATTATCATTGTTTAATGATGCTGTGTCAATCTTACATTTCTGTCCTAATTAGTGACTTTTATTCAAGTTTATTTCAATGAAACTTTGTGTTATTTTTGGAGAATGAAATAGGAATCTACATTATAAACTCCATACATACTAACGCAGTATGTGTAAAAATCTAAAACTTCATATAACCACAATGATAAAAGTAATTTTTGTGTTCTTTCTCAAACACTAACAAAATGAAATATCTGTCATATATTGTTAATTTTCATTTACAGGTATTTAAAATAAAAAGGAACTAATAAGAAAGATACATTAAGAGTTAAAAACTTGAAAAACTGCATTTCAAATTTAATTCTCAACTAGTTTGTAAGCAGAGATGGATAGTGGTTAGCAGTGGGATCCATGACGCGCGTTTCGTCCTATTTAGGACTCGTTAGCTGGATTCACCTGAACCCAGATTTGATGTCCACTCTGAGACTCGGGGCCACTAACGTTCGCTTCAAACGCCATCGCATTATCCACTCAGCTGCTGAGTCCTGATACCTACTTGCTTGTGCAATTTGGTGAAGTTTATATTCACTTGATGTTCTTTACTTGAATCTCCCGTTTAATGATTAGGACTGCAAATGATTCGTCTCATGTTGGCATATGTGCATCCTGTGCGTATTACCTCGATATTGCCTTAAGTCACAAGGGGAAGATACAGGCAAACAATAACAAGTGAACTCAATAATTTAGTTTAAATTTATCTCACTTAGTACTTGTTTCAATAGATTTCTATAATAAAATTCTTAAATTATATGAGTTATCTGCTTTATGAAAGTTATGGAAGTTATGCATCAATAAAACTTAAAATATCTCAAAAAGAAATCAATTCTAACTGATAGAAAATCACTAACGTCCCATGATAATCAACAATAAGAAAGTATATAGATAAACTGATTCATTATAGTTTTAATGTGTTAGTAATACCCATTATTTGTTGAACTAACTGAAAGGTTTCAAATATAAATTGTGATTATTCAACTTAACAGACTGTTTAAATATGTGAAATCTATTTCCTGACATAAGAAGTTGTTTTCTTATTCAATGATTCAAAACTAACGTATTTAGTATAATGTCTCAATTATCTGAAATTATTCATCATTTCATCATGACAGAGTTAATTCAGGTTTCTTACAGCATTGAAATAAACATCTAATACAAACTAGCCTTTAGTTAAGACCGAAGCGAACAAACATTCATGTAAACACAAAACAAAAAAACACTTTTGTTAGTCTTATTTCTTTAACGTTTGAATACAAATATAATGTAACAAATGTTATAGGACAATTAATTTAAAAATCACTTGGTGACTTAATATTTTTCGATATAGTTGTTGTCTGTAAATGAAATTCAAAACAAAATAAGTTTCTTACATCTGTTGTGTACAAAAGAGCGTCATCATTACGCTCAAAACATTACTGCTGTTCACGTAAGTCATGATTTTATGTTATTCGTAAACCCCAAATCAGTAGTAAACTGAAACAAATGCAGAGTTATATTTATTAACCAACTGAAATATGAAAGAACACATGATATCACATAATGTTGACAATCGTTTGTAACATTTTATATCCATATACTTGTGGGTTTTTTTAATTATTCTGTCTGTATAACCATTAAATTCATTCAATTAGTCACCTTAATCTACAAGTATGGTTAAGTTCAGTAATAACACTGGGTGACTGAAATCTCTGGTTTGAAAAAATCATTCGGTTATTAACTGAATCCTTTAACTTTCTCGTCACACCATTAGAATACTAATAAGTGAATGGTTGTCTTAAATCTTATAGGAACTGAAATTTTTAACCATTACTACAATATAGAATTACATTCTAATAACTAAGACGCTTAAATAATTGATTTTGGTAAATTGAATGTTTGGCGGTTGTCGAATAAAAAGATATATTTCAGTCACTTATCATACTTATATTTCAGTGATGAGTTCAAGAATGTTTAAAACGGTAGCATTACCTTAA